TGAGAAAAAGAATCATCTTGCAGATGCTCTTCAAAGCTGTAGATATCAGTCATTTCAACTGCAGTCAAGGCGTCTCTCAACCCACAGCTAAGAATAACTCCTTACATTCTCCTAGATACAAGCAGTTTTCAGTAGAGACCACAACATTCAGTGGTTCTAGGTGGTGAGTAGTAGTAGGTGCCGGTAAACTTTAAATCCTACATACATTAGAGAGCACAAAGTATGTGGCAGATGAAAAATCTGTGCCGAGATAAAGCATCCATAGCTCAGTGTTCTCCAGGACACACAATCATATCCACTGTGGTCAGGAGTCCACGAACTTCAATCATGGCCAACTTAACGCTTCACAAGTACACTTTAAGTATTCCAAGGACAGAAACTACACTAGTGTTCTTCTTTGGGGAAATTTTTACCAGATGAATCAGTAGAGGTACTCTGGTGGAGTCTGTTCATCTAATTGGATGGTTCTCAAACTTTACTAAAGAATCCACCAGGAGAGCTTAGAACGCACACTGCCCAGATTCAACTCTGGGTATCTGGTTCATATATAGTCCCTGCAACATCCAGTTTTAACAAGCTACCTAGAGCCAGGTATCCCTGATCCTGGGAACATTAAATGCTCAGTTTGAGAAACACTGTAGGGGACTGCTTATAAAAAACATCTTACTGGATCAAAAATGACAGTTCATTAAGTTCAATGGCTGGCAGCAAGTTAAATACTTTTGGCGGCAAGGAATTATCAGTCAGGTTGGCAGGATACGCTTTGTCCACAGAAAAAGGGAAGATAGATACAAACCCGGTTTTATTTCACTGGCTCAGTAGCCTTCACTTGACCCAAGGGTCCACCCACACTCCTGCCTCGAATCTCAGACCTGAAGACTCAAGCCCAGAAGACGCATTCAACCAAACATGCACCTACCCAGCCTCCGTTATCCTGGATCCAGGTGTGCAGGTGCCGGTTCAGGTACTCAGTCATCCAGAGGGCGATGTTGTCCACCAGGGGCGACATCTCCCGGTTGACGCTCTCCACACACATGACCCCACCGAACTCAAAGAAGGCCACAATCCTCCCCCAGTTCACCCCATCCCTGAAGAGTTCCTCCACCACCGTGGCAAAGCGTCCCCTCGCGGTGAAGGGCGTCAGGTGCAGCTGGCTGGACATCTCGGCGAAGTCGCGGCGGTAGCGACGGGAAAAGTCATCGCCCGCCTGGCGGAGGGTCAGGTGGACCACAGGTGGC